TCCCCGCCCAGGAAAGCGTCGAAGCCCGCACCGTCCCCTGCTGGCGCCGCGCCTGCTGCGGGCGCCGCTGCGGCCTCACCTCCGCCAGGCTGGGCGGCGGCTGGCTCGGGGGCGGGCGCGGCGCCGCCTGCAGCGGCGGGAGCCCCGCCCTGCGGGCGAGCTGCCTTCGCTTCCTCGGCGAGCTCGTTGACCATCTTGGAGAGCTGCTCGAGGAGGTCCTGGCCAGAGACACCGTCGGTGTTGAGCGAGCCGAGCTTCTCCTTGATCGCGTCAGGGCTGATGCCTCCGCCGTAGAGCGCGGCCGCCTCTCGCTTGGCCTCCGCGAGCTCCTGCTGCAGCTGCGCGATGACCACCTTCGTCGTGTGCACCTGCTCCAGCGCCTTGCGAGCCACCTCCGAATCGCGCTGAAGCCGATCTTGGGCATCCGCGAGCTGGCGAGCAAGTCCGTCCACCTTCTGAGGTGCCGACCTCCCCACCAGACCGAGAGAATGAGCGCGACGAGCAGCCTCAACCTTCCCACGAGAGGACTGCGTGAGGGTGAGCTTAGTCGCTTCCCACGTCTCCTGCCCGAACGTGGCCCAAACCTTGACCTGCTCCGCGCTGAGGGTGGTGCCCGTGGAGCCCTTGTCGCCACCAGCACCCTTGCCCTTGAAGAGCTTGCCGTTGTGACCCCACTGGTTGCTCGGCGGCGAGTCAGCCCACTTGCCACGGGTGGGAGGCTGACGAAGCTGCCAAGGTTGCTGCCAGGGCTGCCCAGCTCCACGTGGAAAGCGAGGTCGCATGCCGCCGCATCCAGGCTTCGTGCAACGGGTGCGGTCGGCCGCGTGGTACTCTCCACAAACGCACTGCCACTGAGGTGCCATGGCCGAGACAACCACAGTGTTATAAGTGCCAAAACGAGGGAAGCCGCGCGCGCCGATGGAAGTCGAGCTCGGGGAACAGAGCTATCCCGTGGTGGCCAGGAGGCTTGCAGCCCCCCAAGCATGGAGTCTTGAGCCAAAATGGCTACGGAAAGGATTGGAGCCACAGGATAAGGGCAATCTATAGGAACACGCGTAAAACACAAAGGATTCGTGCCCCATGGGAGGCCCAATCTATAGGAACATACGTAAAACACTCGTGCTCCAGGGGAGGCCCAATCTATAGGAGCACACGTAAAACACATGGGATTGGAGCCACTCCTGTGGCCTTCTGAGGCCTCCTGCTCCTGGGGCCTCCTGGGGCCTCCTGATGCCTTCCGGCGCTTCCCGTGGCCTCCTCGTGCCTCCTGTCGCCGCCTGGAGCATCCCAGAGCCTCCTGCGGAGGAGGAGGAGCAGGAGGAGGAGGAGGAGGGGGATGAGGAGGAGGAGGAGGAGGAGGAGGAGGAGGAGGAGGAGCTTCCTGTGACCTCCTAGAGCCTCTTCGGGCATCCTGTGGCCTCTTGAGCCTTCCTGCGGCCTCCTGCTGCTGCCTCCTGGGGCCTCCTGGGGCCTCCTCTCGAGCCTGCCGGAGCCTCCTGTTGGCATCCCTGGGGAGGGTCCGTGCCCACGCGTCTGGCCACCAGAACAGGCAGACCGATCGAGGCATCCTCTCAAAATCTGGCCCGCTCTGGGGTGCGAAACTCTGCGCCTCGCCTGTGGCATCCTCAACACCTGCTCCGAAAGCGGAGGATGCTGCGCTCGCTGGCAAGCAGGCAAACCGCTCGAGGCATCCCCGCCATGTTTGGCGCGAGCGGAGGGGTGATATGCCCCCTGGCGGCTCCCCCTTGGGGGTGCTGAAACCCGCGCCTCGCTTGAGACATCCTCAGAAGTTTTTCCGCCATCATCACCATCACCACCACCACCATCATCATCCTCGTCATCACCACCATCATCATCATCAATCGCATAGCATACCATAACCTAACATAGCATAGTCTAGCATGGTAATATAATATACCACATTACACCACATGGCATGCAATCACATAACATACCATATCACACATCGACCAATCATAATAAACCATAGCATGCAATATCATAACATGCCATCACCTACCATAACATGGCATAGCCTAACATATAGCAATAGCGCCGAACTAAACATAACATGGCATAGCATAATATGCCATACCATTCTATGGCATAGCATAACATGAGGAGGAGATATGTGTGTGTGTGTGGGGGAGGGAGTTGGCGCGTTCGGAGTAATAACAAGAACCCGATCCTTTGGATGTGGGGAACAGTGTCATGTGTTGTGAGCTCGCTCCCTAAGTTCCTGCGAAAACCACTGGTGTCCTGTCATCCGTGCCAACGAAGACCATGCTTGCCAGACAAGCGGACGTGCCCCCGCGCCCGCATGCCCAAATCAACCAACAACAGTCGCGCACTGGCTGAGCTCATGAGTTATATTCGGCGGCGAGCGAGGGGGGGAAGTGAGAAGGAGAAGGCCTTCTCGGAAGGTTCGAAAGTCCCCCGGCCTTCTGAGAAGTTTTCTAAGGCTTCCCTGAAGACAGAAAATACTTCTCTGAAGGCGCGAGCGCTTCTGAGAAGTCCCGCCGCCTTCTGAGAAGGCCTTCTCCTTCTCATTTCCCCCCCTCGCTCGCCGCCAATATATGTTGTCCCAGACAGGGGTGCCAAAAAGGACCATGCGGGCCCCACGTGCGCAGCGCCGCGCGCACACGTCGAAATCAGTCGAGGAACCAGTGTCGTTTGAAGCATGTCGAGGTAAAGCTTTTCGAATACAGTTGCAACTGGCCTTCAATGACTAACGCCTCCAGAGCGCTTTCCGCCTTTCCTCTCAATCGCCCGCCCTGGTGGCGACGGCTTTGCACGAGAAGGGTCTCCGCGCGGCACTGCCCTTCGTTTTGGATGTGTTATAGCACGTTCTGGTACGTGAGTGCATCCATGGCACCCTGGGTGTACTGCCAAAAAGTTGCGGGTGGGAGGGTGGGATGTTTGTTCGAGCAATGAAATTGAGGAATCTTAATTATGCATATGACTTGCGCGACGCAGATTATTCTCCTTTTAAAAAAGAGAATACACTCTACCCCCCCCCCCGGCGTTATCCGCCCCCCTTTCGGGTACGTAAATCATGTATGATTATGACCACATGTCCATCCTAAATATGAATTTACACTATCCCAGGGGAGCCGGTATCGGTTCCCCTGAGGTTACCATTGTAAAAAACAATACGCGGTGACATGTTTTGTGGACTTTTTCACGAATCTTTTGCGAAAAAATTGGCGAAGTGCACACGCGCGCGTCGTCGCGCGCGCATGCCTAAATTCTTCAAAAACTTTCGGTGTCGGAAGGATTCCGCAATCGAGTTTCCAAAAAACACACAAAAGCACAGGGTTTCGCAATTCTGATTTGCTAAGAAAGCTTACGCGCGAGCTCTTGCGAAATCTTAAGGAAACCATTGGTTTTTCAAGATTTTCACAAAATGCTACCACACGGGCTTCGCGCGCGCGCATGTCGAAATCTGTCGAACGCCCTTGCGCGTGTGCCGTCGCGAGAATCCTCTGCAACAAATGGGACGACGTGCAGACGCGCGCGATGTCGCGCGCGTATGCCGAAATCCTTCAAAACCCATCGGCTTCGGAAAGATTTCAACATCGTGTGTCCAAAAAACCTACAAAGACACAACGTTTCGCTACACGAATTTTCAACAAAAGCGTGCGCGCGCGCTCTTGCGTCGTCGTCGTCGTCGTCGCCGTCCTCCCTCCTCCCGCGTCGTCGTCGTCGTCGTCGCATACGTCGTCCTCTGTCTTTCCTCGTGTTCGTCGTCGTCGTCCTCTTTGGCGTCGTGGTCGTTTCCGCCGCCGTTGTCGCCGTGGTCGTCCTTCCTCCTCCCTCGTCGTCGTCGTCGTCCGTCGTCGGCGTCTCGTCGGCGTCCCTCCCATTTCGTCGCAGTCGTCGTCGTCGTCGTCGTCGTCTTCCCTCTTCCCTCGTCATTGTCGTCGTCGGCGTCGCCGTCCTTCCTCCTTCTTCGTCGTTCGCGTCGTCGCCGTTCTCCCTCCTCCCTCGTCATTGTCGTCGTTGTCGCCGTCGTCGTCCTCCTTCCTCCCTCGTCATCGTCTTCGTTGGCTGCGTCGTCGTCGTCTTCGTCGTCGTCGTTGGCGTCGGCGTCGTCGTCGTCGTCTTCGTCGTCGTCGATGTCGGCGTCGTCGTCGTCGCCGCCGTCGTCGTCGTCGTCGTCGTCGTCGTCGTCGGCGTCGTTGACGTCGTCGTCGTCGTCGGTGTCGTCGTTGTCGTCGTCGTCGGCGTCGTCATCGTCGGCGTCGTTGTCATCGTCGTCGTCGTCGTCGTCGGCGTCGTTGACGTCGTCGTCGTCGTCGGTGTCGTCGTTGTCGTCGTCGTCATCGTCGTCGTCGTTGTCATCGTCGTCGTCGTCGTCGCCGTCGGCGTCGTCGTCGTCGTCATCGGTGTCGTTGTCGTCGTTGTCGGCGTCGTCGAAGTCGTTGGAGACGTCGTCGGTGTCGTCGTAGTCGTTGTCGGCGGCGTCGTCGTCGTCGTCGTTGTCGTTGTCATCGTCGGCGTCGCTGTCGTTGCCAAGTGCCATTTGGTGCCCACCGTCACGGTCTTAAGAGATTTTGCTAACCAAGTTGCGGGTGGGTGGTTGGGATGTTTGCGCGAGCAGTGGAGTGGAAAACTCACTTGGAACAGAAATTAGTAATCCCCATAGGCTATAATCGCAGACATACATACATACATACATACACACACATACATACATACATACAGACATACATACATACAGGCAGAGAGAGAGAGACATACAGGTGTACACAAATACACATACATAAACATAAGCATAATCGTATGTATGTACACTTGCAAATACCTGTCCATACACATATACATACACATAAGTACATAGATACAGACAGACAGACAGACAGACAGACAGACAGACAGACAGACAGACAGACAGACAGACAGACATATCCTAAGCGCAAGAGCTAGACATGCTCGGGGTCCACGGAGGCAGAGACTTCTCAACGCGTGCGCACACCGCATCGCAAGCACTGCCCGAGGACGGCGGCCCCGGCCCGCTCGCCCACGCTCGTTGCGGATCGCGTGCTTGGGCCGCTCCGCGGCTCGACGATGGAGTTGGTGAAGATGCCGAACGCGGACAGTGACGGCGACAGCGACTCGCTTGCATCCGGGATGCAGGGCTGCGGCATGGCCAGCGAGGACGCGGGAGGGCAAGAGCATGTCCGTGTTCCCTCGTCGTCGTCATCGAGGATCGAGATCTACCGACGTGGCTTACAGTCGACGCGCATAGTAAGGACGAACGACTTTTTCAAGGGTACCCTTGGGTCCTTGCCTGCTTCAGCCTCTGTTGCCCGTCCCTGGCAATCTTCGCAGGCCAGTTTCTCAGGTTCCCTGGGGGTTTGGCCGCCTGCCGCCCAGAATACTTCAACTTCGGCCTCCAAGGGTCTTGCGTCCTTACCACGCGTCCTTACTATACGTTTTCACTGTATCCACTTTGGGGGGGGGCTTCTGGGGGCCTCGGGAGGCCCCTGGGGACCCCTGGAGACCTCCAGGAAGCCCCCCGAAATTGCAGGAGGCATATCCGGAGGCCTTCCCCCTCCCAGGAGGAGGAAGGGGACGACGGGGAGTTGAAGGATGGCGGGGACGAGGAGGACGGAGGAGGAGGAGGAGGAGGACGGAGGAGGAGGACGGAGGAGGAGGAGGAGGAGGATGATGATGATCACGGTGGTGGTGATGATGAGGAGGCGGAGGAGTGTGAGAGTAGATGCCACATCTGCTCTCCCAGGACTATGACAGTGGCAAGGACGTGCTCCATGCCGAGCCAGGTTCCCTGCAGCATATGGCGATCAAGGAGGAGGAGGAGCAGGAGGAGCAGGAGGAGCTCGGCCACGCCGCAGGAGCAGGAAGAGGAAGAGCAGAAGGACAGACGAAGGATGAGGAGGGACATGAGGAGGGACTAGCCACAAGGCGATTAAGCTGACCTCTCACTACGTATGGCCAATCGTCACCACGACCATCGTTCTGCTGCAGACAGTCGTGCTCGGCATTGTCGTGGACGCGCAGATGCAGGAACTTCTCGGAGACCAGAGGCGAGGGCACTGGACCCGGACGGCTACTTTTTATGAACAGGTTGCGAAAGGGCTCATCGTGGTCTGGATGGTTGAGATTTCGATAAAGTTAGTCGCAGAAAGGAGCCGGTTCTTCGAACGCGGGTCGTCTGGTTTGGGCAACATGTTTGAGGTGTTCTTGTTGTCGTGCGCTCTGCTAGATCTGGCGCAGTCTTTTATTCCTCTGAGAGGTCGTATGATTCAGTGTGTTCAATTCATCCGGGTGTTCAGGGCCTTCAGGCTCATTCGTCTGCTCAGTGTTTGCCAGCATTTCAAGGCTTTGCACCAGTTGCGTTGGATGACGTTGTACATTTTGACTTGCATACCGACTTTCGGTTGGGCACTGGCGTTGCTAATCATGTTCATTTTCATTTGGGCGATCCTCTTCGAGGACCTCGCGATATTTTACTTGGAGCAAGACTCAGTTGACAGGAGCGACGAGGTGGTAGATGATCTCAGAGAAAATTGGGGATCCATGAATCTTGCAATGATTTCGTTGATATTCTCCCTCACTGGTGGTGCTGACTATGGCGACCTCATGAAGCCGTTCCAGATGATCAGCCCCGCTTTCGGGTGGATCTACATACTCTTCGTAGTTATGGTGACCCTTTGTCTCCTCAACGTGCTGGTTGGCATTTTTGTGCAGGAGTCGGAGGACATCAAACTGCCTGGGGTAAGTTCCGCTACCGTGCCCTTTGTGTGGCGACTCCTCGAGCACCGCCCAGAAGGCCGTAGAATGTTGCACCTCTTGTTTCTATTGGCGTTGTCTTGAGCTCCTGGGGGGCTGTCGTGGGGCCATCTTCTAGGACCGTCTCAAAACTCGCCTGATGTGTGTTGGTGCTGTCTTGGGCCCTGTCGGCCGCCCGGAGAGTCTCTCAGAGGCTGTCTTGGGAGCATTACTGGGCCATCTAAGGCGGTCGCGGGCCCATCCTGTGCCATCTTGGGGCCCTCGTGGGGCTGTCCTGAGCCGTTCGGTGGGGCAGCTTGGAGCCCTCATTGGGTGCTCGTTTGTCACTCTGTGGTTCCTCCGAGGCCCTCCTGGAACCACGTCGAGCCGAGAGGCTCAGTAAACCCACAGCATGAACGATCTCAACCGCACCCAATTTCTCCACACGAGGCGTATATTTGAACGCTCCGTATGCAAGAACACATCGCCAGAGATGCGCGATCTGCGCTGCCCTCACCTCCGCCGTGACCCCCAGAAGCACGAAATTGGCGACAGCTGCGCAGTTCGCAGCCACCGAGGGAGCCGCGAGGTCTGAAATGGATCTGCGTTGCCTTCACCTCTGCTGTGCCTCCCAGGAGCGCACTAATGTGGCGACAGTGGCGCAGTTCGCAGCGCCCGAGGGGGCCGCGAGGCTTCGGCTGGGTGCGCGTACAGCTCCATTCCGCTCGCTGGACCTCCCAGGATCCCACAAAAAGCGACTGGTGCGCAGTTCGCAGCCACCAGGGAGCCGCGAGGCCTCGGCTGCGTCCGCGTACAACTCCACTCCGCGGGGGCCCACGAACGGGGCGACAGATGCGCAGTACGCAGCTACAAAAAGAGCACCCGACTGCGCATGGTGTGACAGCAGAGAAGAGGCAGGCAGACAAGCAGGCAGACAGGCCGGCAGGCAGGCAGGCAGGCAGTCAGGAGGCAGGCAAGTTGGCAGGCAGGCAGGAGGGAGGAGGAGGAGGGGAAGGATGGGAGGGAGGGAGGGGAGGGGGGGAGGGAGGGAGGGAGGGAGGGAGATGAGGAGGAGAGGGGAGGGATAGGAGGAGGAGAGGAGGAGGAGGAGGAGCGGAGGAGTAGGAGAGAGAGGGGAGGAGGGGGAGGAGGAAAGAGGAGAGGGAGGAGGAAGGAGGGAGGAGGAGTAAGGAGGAGGGAGAGGAAGGAGTAGGCTGGAGGTAGGGAGTAGGGAGGAGGAGGAGGAAGGAGGGAGGAGGAGAAGGAGGAGGAAGAGGAAGGAGGGGGGAGACCAGTCAGTGCTCTACAGCAAACGAGAATCCAACACAGGATGGTTTGGGGGAGGATATCTTGCGAAGTACCCAACCATATGTATGTGTGAATACTGCATTACGGGTACCGGTTTCGGTGGAGCTCCTTATGAGGCCACGAAGCGTGTGAAGAGTGTGCCGACGTGTAGCGGGGACCGCATGCGAAGCTTGCCACAGGGGCGTTCAGTGAAGCTCCAACTGGGGCCACGAAACGTGTGAGGGCGTGCCGAAATGGGACGGGGCCGCCATGCGAGCCCCGCAACTGGGGCCTTCGGCGGAGGTCCCTATGGGGCCACGAAGCTTTTGTGGGATGTGCCGAAGTGGGGCGGGGCCGTTCTGCGAACCCTCCAACTTTGGCCTTCTGTGGAGCCCCTCATTGTACCACGAAGCGTGCGAGAGGTGCGCCAAAGTGTGGCGGGGCCGCAATGCGAACCATCCCACTGGGGCCTTCGCTGGAGCTCCCTATGGGGCCAACAAAAACTTGTAAGGGGTTTGCCGGCATGAGGCGGGGCCGCCATGCGAACCTTGACATTGGGGTCTCATTTGGAGCTCACCACCACGAAGCGTGAGAGGTGTACCGATACAAGATGGGGCCGGCATGCGACGTCGGCATGTGGGCTTCAGTTCGGGCTGCCTATGGGCCACGAAATGTGCGAGGTGTGTGTGTGTGTGCCGAAATAGATGAGGCGTGGCGACCATGCGAACCCTCCAGCGTGGAGCTCCTTATGGGGCCACGAAACGTGTGAGGAGCATGCCAGAATGAGACCGGGGCGCCATGCGAGCCCCTGCATGTGGGCCTTAGTTGGAGCTCCCTCTGGAGCCACAAAACGTGTGAGGGGTATGTCGAAACGAGGCGGGGCCGTTATGCGAAGCCTGACGTGTGGGCCTCACGTTGGGTTATGGGCCACGAAACGTGTGAGGGGTGTGCCGAAGTGAGGCAGGGCCGCCATGCGAACCCTGGCATGTGGGCATTGAGGTGGAGCTCCCCATTGGGCTACGAAGCGTGTGAGAGGTGTGCCGAAATAAACAGGCGGAGGGCAGAGAGGAGGGGGATGAGGGGCGAGGAGGAGGAGGAGGAGGAAGAGGAGGAGGAGGAGGAGGAGGAATAGAGAGGTGAGGACACGGGGCGCTGTCTCTTTAAAACAAGGGCCCAATATCACAACATTGTTGGGAATAGGAATCGGCTAGTATTAAAGATGTATGTGTTGCTTGCCCAATGGGCGTCCTCTTGGCCTTCTCTTCTGTGTCTTGGAAGCCTCATGGCGCCTGTTGGGGCATGTTGGGCCCCACTTGAGGCAACGTTGGGCCATCGTGGCGACTGCAGTGGCCTTCCTAGGCTGTCTTGCAAGCGTTGGAGAGCCTTGGAGAGCCCCGGGCACTCGTCATGCCGCCGGGGAGCCTCGCAACCTTGCAAGGAGTGGGGCGGAGTTGCCCCATTTCGTAGACGTGCATAAACTCTACAAGACAGCACGTGCCGCTCTACCACGCCGCAGCGTGCCAAAGGGCACGTTGGCGGATAGTTACCTGGGACCGCAGTATAGTATTGACGAATGCAGTGAAAAAGAATGGTTTCACAGAAGACATCTTGAAGCAGCTGTTTCATGAGATCGACAAGAACAAAACTGGGTCAATCAGCTTGAAAGAGATGCAGACGGCCATCCAGCAGCCATCCATACGGGCGTGGTTTCTACACCTCGAGATCGACATGGTCACCAACGCGAAGGTTTTCTTTGAGCTCCTCGACGAAGACCTCAGCGGCTTTGTAAACGAGCAGGAGTTCGTGACTGGCTGCACCAGGCTCAAGGGCGGTGCGAAACCCCTGAGTTTGGAGAGCCTCGTGATCGAGACCAGGAAGCTAATGGAAGTTGTAAACCGCATGGACGCAAAGCTGGATGTCAGCGGCTTTACCGGGCGTGCGATGTCTCCCCGCTAGGCGTCTTGGGGCCTGGGCAGCTCTAGTTCGCCGCTGCGCGCTCGTACTGTGGCGGCGGGCGCTGTCTCACATTACATTGGTCAGACCGGCTCGTTTCTCATCCATGCTTTCTCCCTTCACCGTTTCCCCTCCCCTCAGCCCCCCTCCCCTCCTGTCCTCTCAGCTCCGTTCGCGTCTTCCTCCCTCCTTCCCCGGACAGGCGGTAGTGGGGTCGCAGGATACGGGTGTACCTTGTTATCCTCCCCTTCCAGGGTCCGTTGCACGACTCCAGTGGAAGTCTCGGCTCTCGCACCGATGTAAGTTTTCCCGACGAAAGACCCAACCATGTGCATTTGTGAGTTACACAGGTGTGAAGGTCGTCCCCAGTAGCGCTCCCTAAGGCGCCACGAAACGTGTGAGGAGTGTGCCAGAATGGGGCGGGACGACGATTATGGACCCTCCCACTGGGGCCTTCGGTGGAGCTCCTTCTGAGGCCGCGAAGCGTGCCAGGGGTGTGCCGACATGGGGCTGGGGGGCATATGCGAACCCTGTCACTGAGGCCTTTGGTGGAGCTCACTGTGATTGGGACACGAACGCGCGACGGGTGTGCCAAAAAAGTGCGGGGGGGCGCATGTGGACCATCCCTCTGAGGCCTTCGGGGGGGGGACTCCCCATGGAGCCACGAAGCGTGTGAGGGGTGTGCCGACATGGTGCAGGGGCTCGCACGTGAACCTTGCCACTGGAGTCTTCGCAGGAGCTCCCTACAGGAGCACGAAGCGTGTAAGGGGCGTAGGCACCACGCGGCACCGTGCGTCGATGTTCGATGACTCATACGAGTGGGCCGTCGCCAACGAACGACCTCACCAAAGGCAGCACCGCAAGAGTGCCCCCTCGACCTCGGCGGCGGGAGCAGGGTCTCGCACCGCCGCCCGCTGCCGCCGCCGGGCTCCTTGGAGCGGCCAGCGGCACGGTCCGCAAAGGTCCACGGTCGCGGCGGTCGCCCCCAGGATCGCCCCTGCGGCACTAATGACAAGGAAGGATATGGAGGAGGAGGAGGAGGAGGAGGAGGAGGAGGAGGAGTTGGAAAGGGACCCCCCCACCCTGCAAACTCTTCGCGGGGGCCCCTCCACCGCGCCCCCACCGCGCCCAACCTTCCCAGCCTCCCGAGGCCTCTGGGCACAGGCTTTCAGCGGCTCCCCACCCTGCCAAAAATCATCGCCTGGACCTCCCCACCGCGACCTCACCGCGTTTGGATCGAGACGGCGACTCGGTGACGAGCGGACACGTCGCAGGAGTCCTCTCGCTGCGTGGCTGCCGGACGGTCTCCGTGGGTGCCCGCAGCTGCGGAGCCTGGGCCGTGGCGGGGTCTCTGCCGATCGTCGCCCGGAGGAGGCTTGACAGCGGGGGCGCGGGGGCACCGCGTTGCCCATCGAGCGCCATTGGGGTTGCTACGGGTCGGTTTCCAACGCTGCCGCTCGATGCGGTAAACTTACACGCGGCACCGCACACGTACACGTCTGCCGAGTAGCCACTTTATGTTGTGCGACCGCTCCAGAGTCAGGGCGTGCCACCAACCAGCGCGGGACGGGGTGGTGCATGCGAGCCCTGCCACTTGTGCGTCGGAGGAGCTCCCTATGGGGCCACGAAGCGTGGGAGGAATGTGCCGAAATCGGGCGAGCCGACGCACGTCAACCCTGCCACTGGGGCATCCGGAGGAGCTCCTCATGGGGCCACAAAACGTGTGACGGGTGTGCCGAAAAGATGCGGGAGACGCATGCGAGCCCTGCCAGTGTGGCCTTCGGACGAGCCCCTTATGGGACCACGAAACGTGTGTGTGTGTGGGGTGTGCCGACAAGATACGGGGAGGACCATGTGAACCCTGCCATTGCAGCCTTCGGAGGGGCTCCCTATGGGGCAACGAACCGTGTGAAGGGCGTGCCAAAATGGCACGGGGGACCGCACGCGAAGCCTGCCACTGGGGCCTTCGGAGGAGCTCCCTTGTGGGGGGGGGGGACCACGGAATGTGTGAGGTGTTTGCCGACATGGGACGGAGGGACGCAAGTGAACTATGGAATTGGGGCCTTCGCAGGAGCTCCCTACGGGGCCACGGAACGTGCGAGGGGTGTGCCAACATGGTGCGGAGGGACGCGTGCGAACTTTGCCACTAGGGCCTTTGGAGGGGCCCCCTCTGGGGCCACGAAACGTGTGACGGGTGTGCCGAAATGGTGCGGAGGGACGCATGCGACTTTTGCTACTGAGGCATTCGGAGGAGCTCCCTATGGGGCCACGAAACGTGGTAGAGATTTGCCGACATGGAGCGGAGGGACGCATGCGGACCCTACCACTGGGGCCTTCGGACTAGCCCGTTTTATGGGGGGGCACGAAACGTGTGAGAGTTGTGACGGTATGGTGCGGGGGGACGCATACGAACCTTGCCATTGGGGCTTTCGGAGGAGCTCCCTATGGGACCACGAAACCTGTGTTGGGCGTGCTGAAATCAGGCATGCGGAGGGCAGAGGCAATGGATGATGCCCGAGGCTTGCTCACAATGTATTTTCAGGAATCGCGCTCTTACTCTAGACGTCCATGCAGCTTAATGAGAAACCGCACTCTTGCCCGAAATTGTTTCACCATGTATTCTGGGTTCGCGCTCTCGCCGCGATGAAATCATGCTCTTGCCAATGACTCCCTCACAATATGCTTAAGAATCGCACTATTGCGTGAACCCTCCTCGTAATTCAAGAAAAGATCACGAATTACTCCGACGGAAGGACCCCGCATGAGAATCCTCTGGGCGAATCTGGAAAAAGCCCTCACCGTCGTCCTCGTGGTTGGTGAGGCGTCCTGGTTGTCTCTTCTGCGTAAAATTCTTCTCGCCCTGGCGCGGGCCCTCCCCCCGCTCCCTACGTTGCCCCCGACCTCGCCCTCCAGTTTTGGCTCCGGACATTCAGAAAGTGGCCCGGGAGTGGCGTTCTGGGAACACGAAGAACACGAAGTGGCCTACAGTTGGCTCCGGGCATTCAAAATGTGTCCCGGGAGTGGTGTTCTGGGAGCACGAAGAACACGAAGTTGCCTACAGTTGGCTCCGGGCATTCAAAATGTGGCCTGGGAATGGCGTTCTGCCAGCGCGAGAGCCCAAAAGTGGCGACAGTCACAGGAATTGGATGACCCGCTCGGATTAGTAACATGATCCGCGGGCCCCATAGGGAGGGGGCTCCCGCTTAAGATTTCCTCGCAATTCACTCACAGATGTGGCCTGGGAATGGCGTTCTGGCAGCGCGAGAGCCCAAAAGTGGCGACGGTTACAGGAATTGGATGGCCCGCTCGGATTAGTAACATGATCCGCGGGCCCCATAGGGAGGGGGCTGCCGCTTGAGACTTCCTCGCAATTCACTCACAAATGTGGCCTGGGAATGGCGCTCTGGCAGCGCGAGAGCCCAAAAGTGGCGACGGTTACAGGACTTGGATGGCCCGCTCGGATTAGTAACATGATCCGCGGGCCCCAGAGGGAGGGGGCTCCCGCTTGAGACGTCCTCGCAATTCACTCACAAATGTGGCCTGGGAATGGCGTTATGGCAGCGCGAGAGCCCAAAGTGGCGACAGTTACAGGAATTGGATGACCCGCTCGGATTAGTAACATGATCCGCGGGCCCCATAGGGAGGGGGCTCCCGCTTGAGACTTCCTCGCAATTCACTCACAGATGTGGCCTGGGAATGGCTTTCTGGCAGCGCGAGAGCCCAAAAGTGGCGACAGTTACAGGAATTGGATAACCCGCTCGGATTAGTAACATGATCCGCGGGCCCCAGAGGGAGGGGGCTCCCGCTTGAGACTTCCTCGCAATTCACTCACAGATGTGGCCTGGGAATGGCGTTCTGGCAGCGCGAGAGCCCAAAAGTGGCGACAGTTACAGGAATAAGATGACCCGCTCGGATTAGTAACATGATCCGCGGGCCCCATAAGAAGGGGGCTCCCGCTTGAGACTTCATCACAATTCACTTACAAATGTGGCCTGGAAGTGGCGTTCTGGCAGCGCGAGAGCCCAAAAGTGGCGACAGTTACAGGAATCGGATGGCCCGCTCGGATTAGTAACATGATCCGCGGGCCCCATAAGAAGGGGGCTCCCGCTTGAGACTTCGTCGCAATTCACTTACAGATGTGGCCTGGGAGTGGCGTTCTGGCAGCGCGAGAGAACAAAAGTGGCGACAGTTACAGGAATTGGATGACCCGCTTGGATTAGTAACATGATCCGCGGGCCCCATAGGGAGGGGGCTCCCGCTTGAGACTTCCTCGCAATTCACTCACAGATGTGGCCTGGGAATGGCGTTCTGGCAGCGCGAGAGCCCAAAAGTGGCGACAGTTACAGGAATTGGATGACCCGCTCGGATTAGTAACATGATCCGCGGGCCCCATAGGGAGGGGGCTCCCGCTTGAGACTTCCTCGCAATTCACTCACAGATGTGGCCTGGGAATGGCTTTCTGGCAGCGCGAGAGCCCAAAAGTGGCGACAGCTACAGGAATTGGATGACCCGTTCGGATTAGTAACATGATCCGCGGGCCCCATAGGGAGGGGCTCCCGCTTGAGACTTCCTCGCAATTCACTCACAGATGTGGCCTGGGAATGGCTTCTGGCACCCCCAAATGCGACAGTTACAGGAATTGGATGACCCGCTCGGATTAGTAACATGATCCGCGGGCCCCATAGGGAGGGGGCTCCCGCTTGAGACTTCCTCGCAATTCACTCACAGACGAGACCCAAGGCGAGTGAGTGAGTAAGTGAGTGACTGACTGACTGACTGGTGATGATGATGATCATCACACTCTCTCACGCGCACACTCATCATCATCATCATCCTCATCATCCTCATCATCATCATCATCATCATCATCATCATCATATGTGCGCGCTGATGAGTCAGTGAGTGAGTGAGTGAGTGAGTGAGTGAGTGAGTGAGTGAGTGAGTGAGTGAGTGTGTGAGGGATGATGAGTGAGTGAGTGAGGAATGAGTGAGTGATGATGATGATGATGATGATGATGATGATGATGATGATGATGATGATGATGATGATGATGGTGGTGGGTTCCTGTTTCTGCGCGGGGTGTCCAGAGAAAACAAGAACCCCACTTTGGATGTGGGGAATGATTTTGGCCTCTTCGGGCCCTCCTGGAGGAGCTCTTGGAGCGTC